GAAAAAAGTAACTAAGTAAAGACAATTTTAGTTCACTTTGTTCAACAAAGAAACAATTTTTTATGCAGACAAATTTTAAGTTTTGTTTTTGTCATTTAGAAAATAAGAGAAAAGTGTGCGAAAAGGATGTGTTACAACACCAAAGTTATTTAAAAGTGTTCCGAAAATAGAGTTCCGAAAAAGAGTTCCTAAAATATATTGTTGATAATAAGCAAGACAGTAGAAAAGTTTCCTACTTGGTTCAGCAAATTAGATGATAATTTGGCGATTAGTTCATTCCTTCGACACACAGGACAATGCATTGTATATGTATTTCCAAATTTGCTACAAAATCTAGTTCATTTAACCCTCACTTTCATTCATAGATTTTGTTCTCAAAAGGGGGGATGTAATTGGACCATGCATATTCATATAACCTTTGATCTATACCTCCCAGGGTAACTTGATTACTGTACATGGAGCGTGGAACATGAGCTACAGAACTTCACTTAATACATCGTTAGTCTTGTCATTATTCTATCATATCATATCACAGTCAGTCCATTCTTGTTTGAGAAATAATAAAATTCAGAAAATGTGTAAATAATCAAATTCAGAAAATGTGTAACCCATGATTGGTGATGAATGCCCTATGGAGTAGGTCCATGCATGTTTGGAAAATAATCAAATTCAGAAAACTGTTTAAAAAAATAATTGGTGATGAATGCCCTATGGAGTCAGTCCATGCATGTTTGGAAAATAATCAAATTCAGAAAATGTGTAGCCCATGATTGGTGATGAATGCCCTATGGAATCAGTCCATGCATGTTTAGGAAATAATCAAATTCAGAAAATGTGTCACCCATGATTGGTGATGAATGCCCTATGGAATCAGTCCATGCATGTTTGAAAAATAATCAAATTCAGAAAATGTGTAACCCATGATTGGTGATGAATGCCCTATGGAGTCAGTTTATGCATGTTTGGGAAATAATCAAATTCAGAAAATGTGTAACCCATGATTGGTGATGAATGCCCTATGGAGTAAGTCCATGCATGTTTGGAAAATAATCCAATTCAGAAAGTGTGTAAATAATCAAATTCAGAAAATGTGTAACCCATGATTGGTGATGAATGCCCTATGGAGTCAGTCCATGCATGTTTGGAAAATAATCAAATTCAGAAAATGTGTAACCCATGATTGGTGATGAATGCCCTATGGAGTAAGTCCATGCATGTTTGGAAAATAATCAAATTCAGAAAATGTGTAAATAATCAAATTCAGAAAATTGTGTGACCCATGATTGGTGATGAATGCTCTATGGAGTAAGTCCATGCATGTTTGGAAAATAATCAAATTCAGAAAATGTGTAACCCATGATTTGTGATGAATGCCCTTATCATGCTCTAATTCGGAAAATGTGCCTGATGTATTTTTATTGAGCAGTCAAACTTATGCACTGTTTTTTTTTTGTCTTGTTGACCTGCAGTATTGATGCCACCCATGATGATTCCAGGCTTGGAGGACTAGTGAATGATGACCATGTCATTCCCTTGTGTGTCATGAAAAAAAGAGTCTTCAGTGGCATCCCTTACTTGTTTCTTTTTGCATTAAGGGACATTTCCGTTGGGCAAGAACTTACCTATGACTATGGTGACATCTGTTTGCCATGGAGGAAGAGTAATAGATGCATTTCACAAACTACACACCCAGATATTCACTGCAATCCTGAAGATAATTGTCCTGTGTCAAGCATTCCAAGCAGTCTTGTCACCAATAGCACAATGCTCACAAGCCTTAGTCCAAGCAGTCTGTCTGAGGTGCTTCCTACTGTCACCAATAGCACAATGCTCACCAGTCTTAGTCCAAGCAGTCTGTCTGAGGTGCTTCCTACTGTCGACTCTGGGTCCACTGGTAAGGTCACCAATAGCACAATGCTCGCAAGCATTTGTCCAAGCAGTCTGTCTGAGGTGCTTCCTACTGTCGACTCTGGGTCCACTAATGATGCCACCGATAGCACAATGCTCACAAGCACTCGTCCAAGCAGTCTGTCTGAGGTGCTTCCTACTGTCGACTCTGGGTCCACTGATAAGGTCACCAATAGCACAATGCTCTCAATCACTCATCGAAGCAGTCTGTCTGAGGTGCTTCCTACTGTCGACTCTGGGGCTACTGGTGATGTCACCAATAGCACAATGCTCTCAAGCATTTGTCCAAGCAGTCTGTCTGAGGTGCTTCCTACTGTCAACTCCAGGTCCACTAATGATGTCACCAATAGCACAATGCTCACAAGCACTCGTCCAAGCAGTCTGTCTCAGGTGCTTCCTACTGTCGACTCTGGGTCTACTGATGATGTCACCGATAGCACAATGCTCTTAAGTATTCGTCCAAGCAGTCTGTCTGAGGTGCTTCCTACTGTCAACTCTGGGTCTACTGATAATGTCACCAATAGCACAATGCTCTTAAGCATTCGTCCAAGCAGTCTGTCTGAGGTGCTTCCTACTGTCGACTCTGGGTCCACTGATAATGTCACCACTAGCACAATGCTGGCAAGCACTCGTCCAAGCAGTCCGTCTGAGGTGCTTCCTACTGTCAAACCTGATTCAACTAATGATGCCACCAATAGCACAATGCTTGCAAGCATTAGTCCAAGCAGTCTGTCTGAGGTGCTTCCTTCTGTCGACTCTGGGTCCACTGATGATGTCACCAATAGCACAATGCTCGCTAGCCTTAGTCCAAGCAGTCTGTCTGAGGTGCTTCCTTCTGTCAACTCTGGGTCCACTGATAATGTCACCAATAGCACAATGCTCGCAAGCAATTGTCCAAGCAGTCTGTCTGAGGTGCTTCCTACTGTCAACTCTGGGTTCACTGATAATGTCACCAATAGCACAATGCTCGCAAGCATTTGTCCAAGCAGTCTGTCTGAGGTGCTTCCTACTGTCGACTCTGGGTCTACCGATGATGTCACCAATAACACAATGCTCACATGCATTCTTCCAAGCAGTCTGTCTTTGGTGCTTTCTACTGTCGACTCTTGGTCTACTGGTGATGTCACCAATAGCACAATGCTCTCAAGCATTCGTCCAAGCAGTCTGTCTGAGGTGCTTCCTACTGTCGACTCTGGGTCTACTGGTGATGTCACCAATAGCACAATGCTCACAAGCCTTAGTCCAAGCAGTCTGTCTGAGGTGCGTCCTACTGTCGACTCTGGGTCCACTGATATTGCCACCAATAGGACAATGCTTACAAGCATTCGTCCAAGCAGTCTGTCTGAGGTGCTTTCTACTGTCGACTCTGGGTCTACTGGTGATGTCACCAATAGCACAATGCTCTCAAGCATTTGTCCAAGCAGTCTGTCTGAGGTGCTTCCTACCGTCGACTCTGGGTCCACTAATGATGCCACCGATAGCACAATGCTCACAAGCACTCGTCCAAGCAGTCTGTCTGAGGTGCTTCCTACTGTCAACTCTGGGTCTACTGATGATGTCAACAATAGCACAATGGTCTCAAGCATTTGTCCAAGCAGTCTGTCTGAGGTGCTTCCTACTGTCGACTCTGGGTCCACTAATGATGCCACCGATAGCACAATGCTCACGAGCACTCGTCCAAGCAGTCTGTCTGCGGTGCTTCCTACTGTCGACTCTGGGTCTACTGATGATGTCACCGATAGCACAATGCTCTTAAGTATTCGTCCAAGCAGTCTGTCTGAAGTGCTTCCTACTGTGGACTCTGAGTCAACTGATGATGTCACCAATAGCACAATGCTGGCAAGCACTCGTCCAAGCAGTCTGTCTGAGGTGCTTCCTACTGTCGACTCTAGGTCCACTGATAATGTCACCAATAGCACAATGCTCACAAGCATTCGTCCAAGCAGTCTGTCTGAGGTGCTTCCTACTGTCGACTCCGGGTCTACTGATGATGCCACCAATAGCACAATGCTCTTAAGCACTCGTCCAAGCAGTCTGTCTGAGGTGTCTTGTGCCACTGATGTAACCAAATATAGCAAGCATTCCTATTCACATGTTGTCAACAGACGTGCCATGTCGTCCTGATCCTTCAGCTTTTGATATCCTGGAAGATATTTGTGAAGGATATGTGTATGGCAATCAGAAAACCGAATGTCACATAGATATGGAAAGTTTTCATTCTATCATTGATGATCGTCATTTGTTGCAGGAGCCTGTAAAACTGCCCTTCCAAATAAAGTCATACAAGCTCATGGCAAAACTGTGCAGATGACGACTGACAATTCAGAAAGTGCAACTGAAGAGGACTCATCAGACACTTCAGAGAATAGTTCAGACTATCATGGTTCGGAGTCAGATGAATCTGAATCTGATGAGGAATCAATTGTATTTGACCAGCTAACAGATAATAGCTCACAATTCCAACCACGGCCTTGCAGAGGTAAAGCAGAGCTAGAAGCTAATGGCAAGTGCAACCGTCTTCTGATTCATCTTCTGATGGAAGTGACTCCTCATTTGATGAAATCCACATCGAGTATTACAAACAGAAGGAGGTAGAGGGTGGTTTGATCCGAGCTTACAACAAATTCAATGCGTGTTTGTTTTGTGAAAAACTTGTAAATGATGGCGGAGTAACTATGGGTGACTTCTTAAAGCCATCTAAGTTTGATGCTGTAATTCAAGCTGTTGAGGATTTGGCAGGACAGGATGAGGGGGAAGGTGGTGATCATGAGCTACAGCGTCCATCGTTTGCCCTCAAAGCAGGATATGATTTGGCCTGGCTTGCTAGGATTAAAAGAGGAAGGGCCATACGATCCCATGACATCACATCTGAAGAGGAAGCTAATAAGTTTCTGCAGCTACATAGATCAGAATGGGGTCTTAAAGTTTCTGCCTCAGCTTGCAATACCCTTAACACTCGCAAAAGCAAGAAACCTGTGAGTTTACCTAAAACCAGTGACCTTCAGAAACTGTCCAAGTATGTTACCAGTGAGGTTAAGAAATGCAATGAAATGTTCACAACTTCTTCTACTGCCAAATACAGCTTTTTAAAGCGGATGCAGAAAGTCACACTTGTACGTCTCTTGTTGTTCAACAAACGACGGCCATTGGAGCTCTCACAGATCACCACTGACACATACATTAATCGACCAGGATGGAACAACTCAAGGGTAGAAGAGCTGTTATGCCAGATGACATCTCTTGAAAAGAAGCTGCTTGAGAGTCACGACCTCTTGAAGATGATTGGAAAACGGGGGCGAACAGTCCCTGTTATTGTTCCTCCAGACTGCAGTAAATCACTAAATGCAATTTCCAAGTTGAGGCATCTTTTCATTCCTCCATCCAACCAGTATATGTTTGCGAGAAACACACCATCCACACACATGCAGGCTGGTCATGTTCTCAAAGAAATTATCTCAGAAGTGTCTCTTGACTCACCACAAGACATCCGCACAACTAAAATGCAGAAATACACTGCAACAGTTGCACAGATTCTAAGCCTACAGCCACACCAATTAGAATGGGTTGCTAGCCATCTTGGCCATAGCGTCAACATACATAAAGACTTCTACAGGGTGCAGGACTCAACAATTGAACTGTGCAAGGTCTCCAAGTTATTGATGGCCATTGATGCTGGTGATGTGGGCCAATGGGCAGGCAAGTCTCTGGATGACATACAAGTTGAAGGTAAATAAACACACATACTTACCAAAACTGTAGTGGTACCTTACTTAAGGGAGACTTTCCTATGGACCTTTACATCAGATTCCACCTTTTCTGACCCTTAACCCCAATTTTACACCATCCAACCCCAATATGTTTATGGTATTATTTTTTGGGACCAAGAGTCAGAGTTGTATTCAAGTTCCCTGCAAGACGTTTCACAAATCCACTCACAAGTCTTTCCATAAATGCCATTCACAAGAAACTATTGATGAACAATGACAAATGAATGCTTTTGAAGCGGTTCATTTGAAAAGCTAGTGATAAGACTAAAAGACTTGTGATGGACTTGTAGGGACTTGTGATCCACTTGCAGTGCCTTGAATACAAATCTGAAATCAATGTAGCCTATTTACGGCATTAAAAATCTGCCTCTAAATAGGAGCTGAGACATAAGGGTGACATTGAAATGTCAGCATATTCCATTTTGTCTCCCTAAGGTGCTAGTTATGACCATTAAGTGTCTCCTTATTAAACGGCATTTGTGGTTATAAGAAAGAACAATTAATTCAATATAGGATTAAAAGTTAGGTTGTGGTCATAGTTGCAAGATTCAGACAGATGGGGTGTTGCATGCCATGACAGTAGAGTACAGAGCAGAAGGCACACTTTTCTTGCCAATATGATCACAACCTAGAGGTCTTTATTCTGCAGCAAGACTAAGCCTTTTCACATTTGGTCTGTTTACATTTACTTAATAATGAGAATATTGGCACAATAGATGTGTAGCACTACCAGAAAAACAAGTTTTCTCATAAAAATTTTCAAAATTGTCATAATCGTCTATATTGTCTGTCTGTCTGTCTGTTTGGTTGTTTGTTTGTCTGTCCTTTCTTTGGTGTGTTTGGGGTATTTGTTGTGTGTGGGGTATTTGTTGTTATATGGGGCTTCTAGTTTGTTTTCTTACTGGCTACCCACTTCTTCATTGGATATTGTTTTTGTAAATTATATGCAGATATTGAGATGGAAGCAACTGATGAAATTGATGACGATGGAGATGAAGATGAACAGGAAATGAACCAGGGTAGATTTAACAATTTTTTTACAAACATTAACTTTACTATTCCTGTGCAGCTCATGCAGCTACATTATGGGATATAACTAACTCATGTTGGCTAAAGACATCAAATAAATTGAAACAAGGGTGCATTGCCTGCCTTGATTCATTACCATTATAATTGGAATTGAAATTACATAATGAATTGAGAGAGCCAGTCAGTAGCCGTGTCACGCACACAGCCCTGTTTGACGTCAGTTTCTCGTCCCGAAAAAGCGCATGGCCCAAAAGCGTACGCAAGATTTTACGAGATGTATTCGAGGTTACAGACAAACACAAAAAGTGCCTCAATACATGCACTGTTTGGCCAAGATGGCTAAATAAGTCAAAAAGTGGAAATCGTGTGTTTTATTTTGATAACAAAAATAACTGCTTTTGACAAATATAAAGTGTTGTTATGGCCTGTCAAACAAAATCATATTTTTTATCAACAAAATCGAGGGCCGTTAATTTTTAGGTGTACATTCGATTCTTAAAAAAGGCCAAAACAAATGTCAAGGCTTAGTACATAAAGGCAAGTATACGCTTCATTTTCATGTGAAACACGTGCAGAAGTCTTCTAATGTTTGGTCCAAATTGCCTGTTAAAAAATGAAGACTTTTGCGAGATTTCATGATTCACAATCACATGTACGCATGTAAATGAACGTAAGTAGGCCAATGGCCTGAACAGCACGTGCGAACGTGCAATGAATGACTTATGAATATTAAGCAGGCCATCTCAAGCTCGACTAATCAGTGTGCAGGCGATGCGTATGGGGTCACAAGGTCACACCGTGTTTGGGTTCCTCACTCTATGCTTTACAATGGTGACGATCTTTTCGCGTTGTGAAAAATGAAAGTTGTTGGAAACATTAGGTGTACATAGAATTCTTAAAATACTAACGACATCACGTTCACGAGATTACTTGTAGATGAAGGTTCACTCTTTCCTTTGATTACTTTGGGAGACTTTCGTCGTTCTAAAAAAAACACCGGAAATTGCATGACCTAATTTTTAGTCGATTTGTCCGTGAAATAATATCGTCAAAATGCATGGAAATCTTTCTTTATAGAAAAAAATACCTTGATGAATGTATGTAGTAGGTCTTTAACTACCCAAAACAACTTTGTTTGTTTGGATCGGTTGTGGTTTGCCAAGAAAATTGCGAATTTTCTGAAGCCCTTTTTACGGCCATCATTCGCTGGCCTCGCGTTGCTATCAATTGTGTAGACAAGAAAATAGAGCAGCTACAAGTGGCACGGCTACTGACTGGAGCTTTGAAAGATGACATAAAAATTACCTGTTACCTTCCTGTTTTCTTTGTGGAAAATTCTACGGATAACTGTTCAATGAATGTTTATAAATTCCATGCAAAATCATTTTGTTGAAATTTAATTTTCAATAAAAGTCTTCTTCTTTTTTTTCTAGTCTCACTTCAAACCTGTTTCAACAAGTCATCATCAGCCAGAGAACCAAGCCCTTCATGTGCACCTAGGTGTACTCCAAGAAGAGGTAGGTTGATATTTGCCCCCCCCCCCCCAACTCATTAAATTTACACCACTATGACTTCGCGCCTCTTTTTCTTTTCTTTTTTCCTCTTTTTTTTCTTCCTTCCTATTTTTTTTTTGGTTGCTTTTCCAGGGGGGGGGGGGCAAGCGCCCCCCCTCCTTGCCCCCCTGTGCAACGCCCATGCCTAAGTGAAATTAAATTGAATTGTTACTAAAGCAACTATAAACATTTCAGTTTAACTTACTACTTTCTTGATACATGTACATTGATATCAGGCCCATTGATAGTAGGCTGCTTATGTCGTGCCCGGCAATATCTTCCTCCAGCAGTTATGCTCTACTTGTATAAGTCCACAATGTGTGCTGTCATGGAATACTGTTGTCATATTTGGGCTGGTGCTCCAGCTTGTCATTTGTCCCTGCTTGAAAAAATTAAAGACGTATTGCAAATCTAGTAGGACGTGACCTAGCTTCTTCCCTGGAACCTCTCAGTCGTTCTGTAGCTTCTTTGAGCCTCTTTTACATATGTTAATTTGGCAGGTGCTCCAGTGGACTTCCACTGGTTGTTCCACCTAAACATACATTTTGCTGCTCCACATGTTTATCTGCCCATTCTCATCCTTACACTGTTTTCCCCAAAGCGAATACTAGGAGATACTCATCCAGTTTTTCCCCTCACTTCTTGCATCCTGCTTTCAATCCACTTACGATCTGTCTCAATTAAAACGCAACATCAATAGTCGTCTTTCTACTTTTTTCATTTCCTCTTTGATTATTCCCATTCTTCCTTTTTAGTCGTCACCTTGAGTGGCCCGTCTTGGGCCTTGTGATTGGCTATCCCAAAAAAATTTCAAGAAGAGGAACCATGCATCCAGAATGTGTGATCCACCTTAGCTGGGGAAACTCAGTCCTGCATTCTTGTGGTCTTGGGTTGAATGGTCAGTCTGTCTACATCCCAACCACTGCAAGATGTAGCTGTATTACATTAAACAATATAATGTGTAACACACAGGCAAGGAACAGGGCCTGCATCCTTAACATTTGTTTAGAAACATATTTTTTTTGTGTATTCTTTAGTCGAAACTGAAACCAGATCCAGCTCACGTGAGATGCCATCCGAGTTAGCTGAAGGATCAAGACCTCTTCGTGTATCAGGAAAGGGTGGGTTCCATGATATTGTTTGCAAAACACATGTTTCTGATAAAAAAAGATTGATCTGTGAAAACTCTTTAAAAATTTAAAACGACCTGCATACAGGGCGGTTCCACAAAAAAAAGGAAACCCAATTGTAATTTATATAATATCTAATGAACATTTCCAAATAAATTATAGACCAAATGAAAGATCCATGTCTCCTCTTTCCAGTGATACCCTGATTGTGTGTCTGTGACCATGGATGACTGAGCAGTCACTGTTATTCTGTCAAGGGTCAAAACCTGCACTGGGCCAAGTTGTTGCAACTGGCAATTGGTATTCAGGGCATGTGAACCGGCTTTTTTTAACGAAAGAAGACAACATTTTCTTGACAACAAATTATTCAATGTTGACACTGTGATTAAACCACTCTCATTGTTGAAGTTAACTCCTTTTGAACCAATGTCTTTAATGTCACTTCCACCTCTACTTTCCACACAAAGCTTTGAATGTTGTCCCATTTCGCCCACTGCCATTTCAGCCGTTGCATAACAAACCAGCCAGTCATCCATGGTCACAGACACTTGTCTATAATTTATGAGGAAAAAGTTATTTGATTTTGTACATATTCATTTACTTTTGGGTTTCCTATTTTTATACACACCCCGTATATGTTTTAATTAATCATGTTAACATGTTGAATTTAACCCAATCAATTTTGATTTAACACTTCTGAGTGATTATAAAGTGCTGTCATTGACATAACTCTGTAAGAGTTGAGTTTGATTTGAGAAGTTGTATTTACATATAACTGTAGTGATTGTAGTTTTTATTTAAATAGGATTTATTATGGGAAATGCACCATTTCCACGTCTGAAACTGAGCCTTTCTCCCACCTTTCTAAAAAAGGTGACATTATATAATTTAGCCCAGACAATAGTGTTGCCATGGGCAATACGTGTAATGTAAATATTTAATTTATGCACTGATGGTGTAATTTATAACATCTTTCTTTTTATTATCATGATTGCATTTGAAAAAGACTTCTACATTTGTAATATGGGATGGTTGCTAAAATTGACTGCGTACATGTACATTGTACATTTATCATGTGGAATAATTTGTTTATAAAAATATTTATGTTTATTTACAAATATTTCTATTTAGGAGACAAATTTCCTTGGTCCAAACAAGAGACATCCTGCATCTGGGCACAAATGAGAGAACTCATCTTGAAAGAAAAGGTACCAGGGAAGAAGGAATGTCAAGCTTGTATCACAGCTTCAGTTCCCATATTGGACAAAAGAACCAGGCAGTGCGTAAGTATAAGGTCTATAATATAATAAACGCGGTCAGGAGAAAAAGCACAAGATGAAGGCTACTGCAGTACAAAGTACTACAGTGCTTTGTATTGGTACTGTGTGTTAAGTACCACACGAAACAGTAACGTACATGTAGCTTGAAGAGGGGCTCTAAAGTCTTTTTATTTTTTTTCTGCACTTTTTTTTCCAATAGTCAAAGAATCCTCAAGGGAGTAATCATGGCAGTGGGAAAACCTCCATTAAAATGTTGTCAAAAGTCTTTTTAGTTGATGCTCCTTTTGTATGAAACCTGAGCGTGACGACACTTGTACAAACAAAAAGTAGGCCTGTATATTTAATACAGCGTGTGTCCCAGAAAGCCTGCAGCTTTTTTGACGAGGCTCTAGCATCGGTGCGGAAAAAGTACCACTATTATTTTTATACCATTTTAAGGCTTGGAACCTGAACTTTATCGCCGCTGAGTATTGCCTTGATGTTTAAAATAGTTTTCAAATAAGTTGTGTTCAAAATGTAAAGGCATGTGGAAAAAAAAATCAACAGATTTCACGGACTATTTAAGTCAAGATTTTATTAAAGAATCTTAAATCTACCTCACTTTGATTGATAGTCATGCACACGCAGACATGAACTGAGAATTCCCTTTCAAAAAATGTACAGACCTACCGGTATATAGTTGTTAATATGACAAATTTTTTTTTCAATTTTTAATGGAAGGGTATCAAAATAAAATGATATTTTTTACCATTTAAATATTAGGCAAGAGACTTGTGATCTGTTTTCAACTTTCATAAGGACTCTGGCTATTAGAAAGTGTGTGTAGGAAAAAAATATTGAATTTGACCTGAGAGCCTCTTCTTAATAACCCATGAAATACATGTACATGCACCACATTTTCCTGCATAATCTTTAAAGTATTTGTGTTTCAATTAAACAACAGTGATTGGGTATTATCGATCGTTGGAGTTGAAAGTAATAATCGATTGTTGGAGTTGAAAGTAATTAATGTTAAAGTTGATGTTTGAGAATGTTTTTGATGAAAAACTTGGGGGATTTGCAAATCAAACCAATGTATTGTAATTAATGGATTTTTAACCAAAACATTCTATCAAGGGAGAGCCTATTTTCATAAAAAAGACAAACATTCACTTTCAGTCACATTATATTCACATTAAATTCTAATAATTTCAAGCTGAAAGGTTGGAGTAATTTTTTCTTATGTTGATTTTGTCCTCAAGTTGTAGGGCGGCAAAGTTATGAAGCTTCAGTTGATATATCATGTTTTTTTTTTCAAAGGAATTTTCTTACTAATTGTATGTTTTCGAATAATGCTTGTTTATGAAAATCACTTGACCCCAACTCATTGTTAGTCACCACTCTCGACAAATGCATTAAAGGTAGAGTACTGCCATTGGTGACTGGTGGAAATACAACTCTCAACTTTCAATGTAATTGTGAAATATGCAAATCAAAGGTTTATCGCCATCAAGGAAAGTATCAGGACTATTCGAGTGCTCATGCTAAAAATTTAATAACAGTTATTGGGCTTTGTCGATTGTTAGAGTGGTTATTGTAATAGTTGATGTTTGAGAACGCTTTTGACAAAAAAAACTTGGGTGGTTTGCAAATCAAACAAATGTATTGTAATAAATGGATTTTTCATCAAAACATTCTTTGTATGGAGAGCCTGTTTTCAGGGGGAAAATAAGACAAACAATAACTTCTATGAATTCAGTCACATTATATTCACAGTAAATTCTAATAATTTCAAACGGATAGGTTGGAGTATATTTTGTCTCCGTTGAATTTGTCCTCAAGTGGTAGGGCGGCAAAGTTATGAAGCTTCAGTTGATATATCGTGTGTTTTTTTATCAAAGGAATTTTCTTACTAATTGTATGTTTTCGAATAATGTGTGTATGAAAATCACTTGACCCCACCTCATAATAAGTCACCCCCCTCGACAAATGCATTAAAGGTAGAGTACTGCCATTGGTGACTGGTGGAAATACAACTCTCAACTTTCAATGTAATTGTGAAATATGCGAATCAAAGGTTTATCGCCATCAAGAAAAGTATCAGGACTATTCGAGTACTCATGCTAAAAATTTAATAACAGTTATTGGGCTTTGTCGATTGTTAGAGTGGTTATTGTAATAGTTGATGTTTGAGAACGTTTTTGACAAAAAAAACTTGGATGGTTTGCAAATCAAACAAATGTATTGTAATAAATGGATTTTTCATCAAAACATTCTTTATATGGAGAGCCTGTTTTCAGGGGGAAAATAAGACAAACAATAACTTCTATGAATTCAGTCACATTATATTCACAGTAAATTCTAATAATTTCAAATGGATAGGTTGGAGTAATTTTTTCTTATGTTGATTTTGTCCTCAAGTGGTAGGGCAGCAAAGTTATGGAGCTTCAGTTGATATATGTGTGTTTTTTATCAAAGGAATTTTCTTACTAATTGTATGTTTTCGAATAATGCTTGTTTATGAAAATCACTTGACCCCAACTCATTGTTAGTCACCACTCTCGACAAATGCATTAAAGGTAGAGTACTGCCTTTGGTGACTGGTGGAAATACATCTCTCAACTGTCAATGTAATTGTGAAATGCAAATCAAAGGTTTATCGCCATATCAGGACTATTTGAGCGTACCGGTAGAGTACAGTCATTAGTTGCTGGTGTAAAATGTGATTGTGAAATGCGAATCAAAGTTTTATTGTCATCCAGTAAAGTACCAGGACTATTTGAGTGTTCATGTTTAAATTTAATAAAAGTTATTGGGTTTTTCGATTGTTAAAGTGGTTATTGTAATAGTTGATGTTTGAGAACATTTTTGACAAAAAAACTCTGGGGTTTCGATTAAAAATATTTTATCCAGGGAGAATCTATTTGAAAACAAATCACATACCGGTACATAAAGTCAGTCACATTATAATATATATTCACAGCAAATTTCAACAATTCCAAAAAGTGGAAGTGATTTTTGTCTGTTGAATGGTCGATTTTACAGACTTGTATGTACTTTTCTGTAAGTTGAAGGGCGGCAAAGTGTTATTTGCAGCATTTTACCTCAAGACACAGTCTTTTCTCTAGTACGTGAGTTAAGGCCCCTGGAAAATTCTGCTTCAAAATGACATATTTTGGGGGGATCTTTATGTACATTTGTGTAGGTGTCTGCATGTAGTCAAGGGTAAAAGGTAGTTATGTATGGGTTTTGATGGGTTTTTTTGGTTTTATTTTGGAGGGGGATAAAACAATTTTCCTGACAAAAATAATGTCCGGGTCTTCAAAAAAGGGTACATAGGTAACATAAGCCGATGTTGTTTTTGGAAAAAAATGTTGCAACCTGCACTTCAGCAGTTGTGTACAAAGTCTATAATCAAGAAAACTGTCCAAATATTTCCTTAAAAAAATTGGAAAGTCCCGGATTCATGTCTTATCATCATTTTTTTGCAATAACTGACCTTCATTGAGATGATATATGAAGAAAAATTGGCGTCAGGCTGCAACATTATTTCCTTGTTTTTTTTTTGGGGGGGGGGTCCTAAATATAACATGTATACGGCATTATATTTCAGGAGCCGGATTTTAAGTAATGAGGCAAGTTGTATTGTTATTGCACAGAAGATGTGATCTTTGGAGACTGGACCCAATATTATGTGTTTATCGCAAACGAAAATGTTTTTTTTTTTTTTTAGGATTTGTAAGGATTTGAAATCGGGACAGGTCACAACTGCTCTTGCTGTCATTTGAAAATAAATATTCAGTTTGAATAGTGATACTGATATAAGCCCCAAACATTGTGTCTGATTGTTTTCTCATATTCAGGCATGCAACTTTTCCTCAGATCAGCTGATTTCGTCTTTTTTTACTTCCCATGTGTGCCATTGAAAATAGAAAAACACTGTACAAAGTCTGGGAAAAATGTGAATTTCCTCTTTTGTTTGTGATTTCCCAGTTGCATGCCTGCATATTAATTCCGGAAAAAAATGAAGCAAATGGGTCTCCATAGGGTAACAACACATTCAATCCTTGAATAAAGTAGAAAGTCTGTGATTGGCTAAATTTCATGCACTTTTCTCATATTTAATCCGAAAAAAAATTGGAAGCAAAAGTGAATCATTACAACAAGGGTCTCCATGGGGTAACACATTCAATCCTTGAATAAAGTAGAAAGTCTGTGATTGGTTAAATTTCATGCACTATGCAAATTACCTACACACAATTCGTCTCCACAAGGATGATTTATAAGGATAGTCAGGCACTGATAACTTTGTCTCCACAGGGCAGGACTCCATAAGGTAGTAGATTCAGGTATGGGATGATATCCAGTGTGTAAAGATCGTGCCTGAGTTTGATAAACGCATTAAACTTCACACATATGTTTGATCTGGTACACGGTACCCTGTGGAGACATTTGCACAAAAGATTGTAAACGTCTCCACAGAGCAATTTCTATACGTGAATTTCCAAAAGGTTATCACGAAATAGATAAATGGATTTTGCTCAAAAACTAGGAATTTCGAATCGCAAATTGAAGTATTTTATGTAAGGGTTATTAAGTCCGAATTTCAACTCAGAAAATGAATTGTGGTTAAAAGAGGCGCATTTGCAGGTACACCTTCAAGCTTGAAAACTTAAGTACACGAGAACAAAGGAATTACTCCACAAGGATGCAAATTCCAGCATGCGTGTTCATGAGAAAACAAATCATGTGTGGAGCCATCATATCGAGAACTCACTGAATTTGTTGTGTTCACTTAAGCTCAAACCTCTGTGCAGGCCAGTTTCCGGGCGAGAATCCCGGTAAAAATGCCCCCTTTTTCGATGTTTCGAGTCATAGTTTGATAACCAAGCGGTCTTTTTCAATGGGGGTAAACGGTTCTGTACAATTTAACTCTTTCTCTTTCTCATGGTATATGTAATTTTTTTTATCTTGAAAAAAATCCACGTACTTTCGGCTTGGAAAATGTGAACTTTTCATCATTTTCCTGTGTAAACGCACCGATTGAGCGCCCTCGCGTCAACTCTT